CGCTAGTTCTGTGAGATGTGTAGAACAAGGTTACTGACCGTAAATCTGTTGCCATGGGTGACCCACCAAGCACTAGCACCAGGACCTGCTCTGCCAGCCATGAAAACAATGCATCAAGGGGAGGCAAGATACCCAGAGTCCACAGCAAAGGGAGGAAGGCAAATAAAATGTGTAATGCTTTGTCCACTGACACTAGCTCTGGATAATTCCTAAAGTAAAAATATAATTTTAATTCTTCTATAAAATAATCATAACAGAAAAAAATGGCTCTTAAAATATTTATTGTGTTCAATGATCATATGCGGCTTTATGTGTAAAGTTTTTCCTCAAATTTTAGCATTGGTTTGCAAACCACATAACATGTTGATTGACAAAAGAGGCCTTCTCAGGGTGGGGTGGGTAGTCACATGTCTGGATTTTACTGTCCCCCCTCCCCCTGTCATTTCACATATTTGGGAGTATTAAGCCATGTCCTTGAAGTAGTTTCAACCCATCATTGTTGCCTTATGTCACCGTTTCAAGGCCTGATGTTGCTTGTCGGAACTTTACCCAAACAAAACAACACAATGTTTTTGCAGATTGTTTGCATGAAACAAAAAAAAGAGTTTAGTTCCCAGTAGAGGGAAATGCATCTGCTCTTGTAGTAGCTGACACCCTCAGAATGGCAATTCTTATTATTATGGGGGGCAACAGTGGATCTTCTAAAAAGGGGGAAATACAAGGACTCTTAACAAGTCCCCTAGATCCACCAGTGGGTGGTTGTGGGGGGGTGGGGGAGGGGGTTGTAGGAGCATTTACATCTACCCGTAATGTGTTGATAAATTACCTCGCCAAAACACCAATTATTCCAAATAATAGCACATAAAATGGTCGCATCAGTGGTGTGACTTCTAGACTGTCAAGGGCTCTGAAGATGGCCAGCTCTGTTGGAGGTTTTGAAGTCAAAGAGTATTGGGCTATGCAGACCACCCACCAACCAAGTATAAACACAATAACAGTTGCCCCTGTGTTGGAGTATAGTCCATTCAATGTCGATGGCAGCAAATATAGAAACATCAGAGCACATAAGACTCCCGATATTAGCCCATGAAGGACCATGTTAACCACAAACTTCTTTCCAGGAAAGAGAAACTCTAGTGTTTCAAAACCACAGCAGGAAACGAAGTCTATTTCATCGTCTTGAGCTAAGAGATTCTTTTGAAATTTTGCAAGATTCGATGACCGCCGTCGCATAAGCCAGGTAAAAAGCTGTGTACTGAGTACAAATATGATCATAAGGCCTCCATAAATGTAACTGTTGACGTATACATCGGTTATAATGTCGAATTCCGCAAAAATGGTAAACACACCTCCAAGAACGAATGGTGTCAAATATGTCAGCAGTTGGTTTAAATAAACATAGAAGGGTGCTTCATAGCCCAGCTTTAGCTTAGGTCCGCCTAATAGCGTCTGAGGGAAACGCTTCCAGAAGAATTCAAGTTTGTAATCGTTCAACAAAGGCGCTCCTCCGCCTTCCATCGATCCCATCACATTGGATCTCTACGTCGAAGGCACCCGACGGTTTGAAAGTTGCTCTTCTCAAAATTTGTCTTGTAAAGCCACGAAAAATCGTATCCAGCCTTTGATCGGTTAGCTAGTTCAAGAGATCATGGGAGGTTAGGTTCTTCGTTCAAAGCATTTTTGGATTTCTTGATTTTGCAGATGCTTTCAAATCATCGAAGCAAGCAAGCACGAAGTCCACCATTTTCGAAATCAGGCCATCACGACTTCTGTCAAGTCTGATCAGCTCATGTAAAACAGACAACAGCGCCACAACATCCAAGAATTTCGAGCATTAACTATAATTCCCCATCGAAGGAGGTACAAAGCGTGTAAAGAATTTTTCCTTCCAATTTTATTTCTGTGAAAGAGGGTAAATTTCTGCATTATTTTCTTTACAAAGTAAGTTTATTGACGTCAAGGCAACCGGGGACTTCTGATTGGCTGAAATCCCGGAAAGAGCTTGACAGAGAAATCTTAGGGAGGGTATCTTGGGCATGTATCGCGCAATACTCTGTTTTGACTCTTAAAATTTAGAGAACGTCACTTATTTAGTCTGTGTGGCAGAGCGAAGGGAAGAAGTGATCAGAAGGGTCAGCGAGGTCATGCGCGAACGTGAGGGAGACTGCGGTAGGAAACAAAGAATAAAAAATTTGAATAACTCTGGCCGTCAATAAAAAACAGCCCCAAATGAAATTGAGTTTGGTTTATACAAAAAATGAAGGCAGGGCGGCTGTCATTCAATCTTAATGACGTCAAAAGCGATTAGATCTCTGTTCTAACTCAGTTTATCAGCCTTTTTACACATCATTAAAGGCTTTAGTTTGAAGTTCTCAAAAGCGAGCTAAATATATAAGAAAAGCGTAAACGTGAGAAGTATTTCTAGAATAGAAACTGAACATGTCTGGGCTAACTGGGTTGTGAGCTCCTGGTTTTGAAAATTTTCAAGAAATCCGTATATTACTAACTGGAGCAAGAGAGGATAAAGCTCCTCTCCTGTACGGAGCCACTGCCGGAACATGAACAAGCTAGCGCGGGGACTTGCGTGACTCCAGCCCGAGCGGCTGCTGAAAGAGACTGTTCTCCATCGCGCCTACTGATTTGGGATTTCTAATAGTTCTTTCCTCCTCCTCGCGCTCTCTTTGCGCTTCTCGCGCGCTCGAAATCCCTTTCCCCATGGCTTTCGTTCCCAGGGTCCTCTCCTACCCGGAAGGGGACGAGTATGAGAAGACCCTGGGAACGAAGTTGCCCCTTACCAAGTTCCCAGTTTGATGCTTTAAGTTTGATGCAGGCTTACGCAGGCTATCAACAGGTCACCTCAGTATCCCTGAAGCAAATGGTAACCTGGAATAGCCAAAGTACTTATGAGAGGGGGGGGGGGTGGATAAGGGAATACGCAAATCACTGTAAAAGCACTGTAAGGAGTCTTTACATGATCAAGATAGTTCCTGAAGTGAACATTGTCATGATAGATTCGTCATGATTGTAAATTCAATTATCGTTAATTGTTCAGGCTCTCTGGGGCACTCTGGTGATGGAGTACCCCCCCTGTACCCCCATGATAGCTCCCAAAATGACTATGCATTGGCCACATGTAATAGGATGGTTCATAATATTAGATGGAACAGCAAACTTCCAAAATTAGAAAATGTATGTGCATTTTATGTAAACAACATACAGGTACACCTTGAATGCCTATCTTCTTACTAAATGTGAAACATACCAACCATGCCAAGACCAGCTAAAGAAATAAACATTTTCTCCAGAACTGTGGGTAAGATTAAAATGTATTGGTACAGTCTTTTAACATTAACTACTGTTACGAGACCATACCTAAGACAATCCTAACTTTTAAGTCTTTGTGAATCTGGCCCATCGTGTTGTTGTTATTGTGACCATAAAATTAATCTTACAAAAAGTATTGTTAAAATAATTTATTCTGCAAGACATTCAACACAAATGGCTCAAACCACGATATATAGTCCTAATATTCTAGTCCTAATATTTGTGTTACATTCATCACATACCAAACTGAAAGTGATGTCACCTTTGGTTTTATTATATTAAACTTATGTTACCTTTAAGGAAATAGAAACTTAATTTAAGGGTGTCAATTTTCTCACGTTTTTACATGTGCAGACCAGCTTTCTTTCTAAACATTATTTTCATGTTCTGGTTAATCTATTGAACTTCCATATTATGAAAACATCAAAAATGGCAATGATATTTCTTTGTAAAACAGGTACTTGTGTCACAGTCGTGCACACATTGGATAATGCTATCCACTGGATAAATCGCTCACTATCCAGTGAATAAGTATTAGGGAAACCAATAATACATTTATTGCGCTATTTACTGGATAGAGACTTATCCTGTTGAGAGCGTTATCCACCTTTTGAACAACTGGGACCAGAACACTGGGTTAACAACTTTTTCTATTTGACTTTGAGGTGCCTAGGTGCCTCTTAAAAAAAAAAAACCTGTTTTGGAATATGGCTTCTCGACCCTCACATAATAACAAGTTCAATATCAGAATTCAAGCGTAAACTGAATTTAAATGATGTAAACAAGGCTACTATTAAAAAAGACTGACAGAAGTAAACAAATCGACTCTGGCTACCATAAATTTGCTTTACATAGCCAGTTTTGGCTTTGAAACAAGAAAGTCATTTGCACACCTTACAAAAGCCAATCTAAAAATTACTTCTGATAAATTCCAAAAGTAAACTAGAAAAGAAAACGCTAAAACTTTGACTGTGCATAAATATTGTTGATATTCACTACCCTGTACAAGCTTGTTTAAAGGAAAGAAGTTGTCCAGCTTGCCTTTATGTACAGCTAGAAAATTTTTGTCCAGCACTGAAATATCTATGACCAATAATACTGTAGTAGTAACTATTCCTTCAATCTAACTTGGCCTTCAGGGCTGTCATTAAGAGGCAGGGGCTGGGGATTTCCCCTGGATGCCATGAACGTGGCCCCTAGCTACTTTCAAAGGAAAATAGAAGAAAAATAGAACCAAGAGGAAACCCCTAGCTGTTTTATTCCCCTCTCCTTGTTGTATTTACCCGGCAACTCGAAATCTTAGTGACAACCCTGTCTTTACAGTTATTACACTAGAGCTCGCAAAGGATTTTTCTCAAAAGTTCAAGGTTTTTCAGATGCACTTGGATCTGGTACTTTGCCATTCATTAACTCCTGATCAACGTGGAGATTTAAGTTATCACCTCCTTCAAGTGAAGCTAGTCTCTCAGCCGCCATTCGCTCTATATATTCTCTTTCTCTTTTCTCTGCTTCTTCTTCTTCTTTTTCCTGAAAACCACACATCTTATGTTAGGACTACAGGATGCTCTTTGTCAGTTCTTTTTGAAAACAAGGGTAAGTTTCCAAGTCTTAAATATCAAAATTATTCTTCATCTAATGAATTGAAATGTGTTGCAGTTGTTCAAAGACTTGGGTTTCATGCTGAGTTTTTAATTGAAAAAAAAAGATTACCACAAAGAGAAAAAACCATGAGCTGAATAGCCACAGTTAAGATTTACCCTAGGACTCCAAATTTAAAACCACCTGGCCCCAGTTGTTCAAACGTTGGATAGCGCTATCCAGCGGATAATGCAATTGTTTCCCGTAATACGTATCTGCTGGATAGTGATTTATCCGGTGGATAGCGCTATCCAGCTTTTGAACAACCTGGGCCTGAACGTAACTTTATAAATAATTATTAATAGTAATTCAACAAGGTACTGCTTCAATGGTGGCACTCACTTTGATGTGACTGGTCACCCTGTCAGGTTTAATCTACAAGGTCTGACTCAAACAAAGGAACCACCTTGAATAGCATTAAAAAGAATCACAGAACAGTACGTGCTCATAACTTCTCTTCTATTTTATTCGTGGGTCACCACTTCCAGCTAAAGGACAAGATTTTAGGATTTTTTAAAGAAGTAGCACTCACCTGTTGTTTAAGTCTGTAATATTCATCTATTACATATTGATATTTTGGAGTTGTAATACCAAAAAATGCTGCTAGCTTCTCTCCCAGATATTCTGCCACTAAAACAAAGTTTCAAGCACTTTTTAGCATGCATGGCATTGCTTTTTAAGGTCAAGTTTGACGGTACAATATTTACTTATGACTATCATGTGCGAGTAGCATATGTCACGACTTTTGACCATCCACAAACGCAGAATTTTTACTTACAACATCCACGCACAATGTGTCTTACAAATGTTGTGGGTCTAAATTATATGACACGATCTGTCATGAAGTCATGACAAATGCTGGTCGTGTATAACAGTTGTAAGCAAAAATCATACCATCTAAATAATGATCTTAATGCACTTATCAATCTCAAGCCCTTGGTAGGGAAGATTGGGTGCCTCGGGGAATTTGATGACCTACAGTGTTTTTACTGTACTATCGAGAGATTTTGATATCCACTCTGGCCAAGGAATGGGGATTCTGTAAATCTGTACCAACTTACACACAAGGTAACAACACGGCAAAAGAAATCAGAAGCAGATTTCTTTGCCACTGCATCAGGTGATCCAGTACTTTATTTGCTGTGGTTTATACTAGCATTTTACCTAGTAGTACATACATAGTGGTATCTATATAGTATTTTATTTGGTGTGGTTTGTCTTGCAGTGACAGGTGTCCCCCTTGGCAGGATCCCACTCATGTGTAGATATATATGTTGAGGTTCAATTTTATTCTTGGATCTAATTTTAAAGGCCTTTGTTTCAAACTCATTATCATATGTTACCATACCCCATAACAAAGGGAAATAAAATTTAATCCAAGGATAAAATTGAGCCACAAGATGTACAACATGTTGTCTTGCAAAGCTTGATCCACAAAAACCCCTTTTAGTGGTTCTGTCATCACTGCGCCCAGGAATTAAATGACATGATTTTCTCCAATAGCATACTTATCACATGAAATTGAACAGTATAAGAGAATGATGATAGTGAATAATAAAAGTTTTTTCTTTTACAAAAAATCTCAAATTTAGAAGCACATAACTGTGAAACAAAATGTATTCCAATGTTTGAAGGGGCACTGTCAGTTATAGCAACAGAGATGTAGGACACTTTAAGAATTGTCTCCCATTCAAATATATGAGCTGGGAAATGCTTCAATCTGGACCCAACTGTCCTGGATCTTTGGGTACATAAATAAAAAGTCAAAACATGAATTATAAATACAAGAAGGACGTTTAAAAGTTATCAATACCTTTTAGTGCTCCAGTTGATAAAGCAACTACATAATACCACAACCAGAGGGTCCAGGTGAGATCAGACTGAGAAAAAAGACAAAATAAAAACAGAAAAGATTGTATGCACTTTTAAAACACTATATTAATTTGAGCATTACTGGTTGTCAAATTGAATGATTTTCTTCCCTGACAACCAATAAGAGAAACAATGACTCATAAAGTAAATTAAACTACAACTGCAATTTAACAGCAATAAAATTCTGTGGATCTCTTTCACTGGTAAAGGAGTATACCATAAATGCAGTATAAGACAGTATTGAATCATTAACAAAACATCTTCACAGTCGCTTGTTTGCTATATGCTGATGTGACGGTCATAAAAGTTAGTGTGTCTCTTTGGTTTGGGAGATCTCTGTTTGTTCTTGCAGTTTCACAGTTTAATATGTCATTTTGATAAACTAGGCTGGTTTTACAAATTGTTTGGAGAAAACAGATTCCATATCCACTGTAAATCCTTATCAAATTTGCACGCAGGTAATATGCAAAGCCTGCAACTCATATTGGCCATAGTTTTCAGCATGAGCACTTTGCTATTCGAAAAAGTTTTTCCAGCTTGTTTATTTAACCTTTAGTACGGATCAAAGTATCAAAAACTCACGAAATAAGTTTTTTCAGTTACAATGGATGTCTAAAAAGGCTTGAAATTAATAAGATCAAGCACTTGTTACTCGAACCACATACTTGAAATTAAAATTAAGCTCAATTGACGTTGGATCGGAATTTGAATAACTTATTTGGAAATAGGTAAGATTTAAGTTTTTGTTTACCGGATTGACTTCTGGCTCTTTTTTCTTCCTACAGGTCTTTCTATCGTCATCTGAACTGCTTTCAGATGAATCCTCTAATGGCTGGCTTCGTTTTTTCTTTTTACGATATTTTTTCTTGCGTTTATCGTCCGAAAGATCGCGATCCGATGGGTCCACTTCTTCCTCATCGTCGCCATCGCCATCCAAGTTTATAGTCTCAAATTCGTTCTTTGACTCCGAAAAGTTAACTTGAGGTAACCCAGCAACTCCTAGATCGACGTTATTTTTATCTTCGTCGTCCGAATCGTCCTTAGAATCTTCCGTTAATGCTGTTTGTTCGGTTGCCATATTGCTTGCAGTCGCCATTAATGTTTTGAGTGGGCTTCAATTTTAGAACGCATGCGTTTCCTCCGCTGGTTACTGAGCGCTGACTGATAGCGGGCGAAAGATCAACTGTTTGTTCCCATGAGCTCCACCCGTTCCCACGTTCCACTGTTCACCTAGCTCAACACGTTTCCCTGATGAAGGCAGCACTGCCGAAACGTCCGAGTTTTATTTGCAATTATCAGCGTTTAACTTACCACCTTCCCACTTTTAACACACACAAACGCTACGCAGAAACTCCCCCTTTATTTGTATCTGAGTTCCCCTTGTTCCCCTTTTCCCCTGTTCCCCTGTTGCCCTTGTTCCTCTTCCTTCTCCTGTCATTAACGTTTATTCTGATGAGAAAACGTCGTTCGACGTTTCTGAATGGCTGGTCAGTTCTGGTCCTACTTCTGGTCCTAGACCGCCGTATTCAGAAGATCATCCAATAACTGCTGGCGTTTTCTTTCACGAGTTTGCTGAATACCTCGAATCTGTCGTCATGTCCAGCGATAAGTTACTGATAACTGGTGAATTTAATTTCCATATGGATGTGCCTACTGATCCCAATAACATACACTTCAGAGATCTTTTAGACGCGATGGGTCTTGTCCAACATGTGAAGCAACCTACCCATATACACGGCCACACCCTAGATCTCATCATTACGCGCCAATCTGATGACTTCACTGCTGAAGAGCCGCTATTTGACAGATTTATCTTTGATCATGTTGCCGTGATATGTAGTTTAAGGACACGTAGACCAGTAGTAGAACTGAAGCATGCTGAATACAGGAAGTTGAAGTCTATTGATTCTGTACTATTCGCTGAGGACATTCGCAATTCTACTTTGTATATAGATCTCCCTGACAACTTGGACAAACTAGTTAATTGCTACAACACGACGCTGTCATCACTACTAAACAAGCAATCCCCGATGCAATCGCGGAAAATGAGAAATAGGCCCAAGCCGCCTTGGTTTGATGATGAGATTATGCAGGCAAGGGGCGACAGACGGAAAGCTGAGAAGTAGTGGAGGAGAACTGGACTGGCCTCGGACCTTCTAGCGTTCAAATCCAACAGAAATTATGTAATATATGTTATGAACAATGCGAGAAGAACATATTATAGTCAATTTATTGAAGAAAACAACCCAAATCAGTCAAAGCTATTTCGGGAGAGCAAGCTTCTATTGAATATTCAGGCTGATAAAACTCTCCCGCCTCACACGAACGCTGTTAAGCTCGCCAACGATATGGGGGAATACTTTGTTCATAAGATCGCTGCACTAAGATCGAAGCTGGCGGGCAGCACTCAGTCCCCTCTCAGTGCTGCCCAGGAATCTGATTATACTACCACCTTGAAAATGACCGACCTTTCTTTCTCTGAATTCGTGCTACTCACTGAGGAGGATGTAAAGAATTTAGCACTAGCCTGTAAGAAGTCGAGTGACCTTGATCCACTTCCTTCTTCTATACTGTCTATACGTCTGGACCATCTACTCCCTGTCATCACAAAGATGATTATATTTATCACTAAAGACTGGTCGGTTCGCTGATGAGTGGAAAAATGCCTTGGTGCACCCACTGCTTAAGAAACCTGGACTCTAACTGGTAAACAAGAACTTCCGCCCTATAAGTAATTTACAGTTTACTTCTAAGCTTACAGAGAAAGCGGTGGTTATCCAGTTGCAGACCCACATCCTGACCAATGACTTGTTCCCGGAAATGCAGAGTGCGTATCGTGAGCATCACTCCACTGAGACGGCGTTACTGAAAGTCAAGAATAATATTCTTATGAATATGGACAGGGTCATGTGACACTCCTAGTTCTTTTGGACCTCAGCGCCGCCTTTGATACTGTGAACCTCGACATTCTTATTCAGAGACTTCACTCACTGCTCGGCCTACGTGGGTCAGCACTGCAATGGTTTCGATCCTATCTGAGTCGTCGACCGCAACAACTTACAATTAATGGTGCTCTTTACAAAAAGTTTGGCCTAAAAAAAGAGGAGCCTTAAGGTTCCCCTTGTTACCCTTGTTACCCCTGTGACCCCTTGTAACCCTTGTTACCCCTTGTTACCCTTCTTACCCCTTGTTACCCTTGTTACACCTTATTACCCCTGTTACCCCTTGTTACCCCTGTTACCCCTGTTACCTCTTGTTACCCCTGTTACCCCTTGTTACCCCTTGTTACCCTTTGTTACCCCTTGTTACCTTTGTTACCCCTTGTTACCCCTTGTTACCCTTGTTACCCCTTTTACCCCTTGTTCTCCCTTTTTCCCCTTTTTAACCCTTTTTTCCCCTTGTTACCCTTGTTACCCCTTGTTACCC